TGCTGCACAAGGAAATAGCACATAATTTGTGCGTAATAACGTTCTAAAAGCTTGGTGTCAATATTTCAAATAGGAATCAAGGAACTCTGAGAAAGTATTTTATAACCAAAAGCAATGTAAAAAAAAAAAAGTACATACATGACCCAAAGCCCAATAAAGTCTTCAGAAAATCTCATTCACCTAACTGGTATGGATCCACTGGGCAATCTCAGCTATTTATAAAATTAAATGAAGGAAGTTTCTGGATCATGATCACAAAGGGATGCTAGAAGAAAAGAGGTCTCCTCTCTGAGATGTTTTCTGTGATCGTAATTCTCTAGGGAGAGATGCTACGATGCACACGATAGTGCAGAATCAGCTTTCCCTGTCACAGGGATTTACTCTTTTATTAAAAGCATTGGATACCTGCAGTCTGTAGCTGTGGACCTCAATCCTCAGAATTCTCTTCCACTAAAAATAGCTGGCAACAATACCAAGAAGGGTGGTTATCAAATCCTAACTATAGGCTGAATGTGCATTTGTCTTTCCCACCGGTGTCCCAGCCTTTTGACTCCATCTTCAAAAAAGCTGTCTACATTTAGTGTGGTTTTCACACCTCAACGGTGCTAGCATACTTTTGCAGGTCCACATATGTTTATCGTCCTTTCGGGGCGGCTCCACTGTCATTGCACCTCTGCACTGCTTTAAAAGAATCTTCTCCAAGGGCATGATTGTAGATTTGGCTGGCATGCATATTTATGGTATGACAAGATAAAAATGGACAGTTTTTTTAAACTTCACTTGGTGAGAAAAGCTTTGTATATGGTATGGACAAGATATAAGAAGTACCAGAGTGACTTAAGACCATTGTGGATTGTACCAGTAGAAGTGTTGATATCTTACTCAAGACAGCGAGGTAGAGACTGGTTGCCATATAGAGATTTAATTAAAAAAGAGGGAACAGAGTGGGTAATGAAAAAGCAGAATGAAATTGAATATGAATATGAGTGGTTGAAATATATGCAGATTTATGATCTTTTTAGATCTGACAAAAAAAACTATGGTTTTAGAGAGGAAAAAAATGAAATTGAAAAGGTATGGGAGAGTGGAGGAGGAAAAAATATTTCTAAAATGTATAAGGTGTTGTTAAAATGGTATACTGAAGATGAAACTGTTAAAGAACAAATGTTAAAATGGGCTATTAATATGAATAAGGAAGTGGCTATGGAAACCTGGGAATATTTGTGGAAAAATTCTATTAAGATCTCGACATGTACTAATGTTAAAGAAAATTGTTATAAGATGATGTATAGGTGGTACATGACACCTAAGAAGATTGCAAATATGAATCAAAATATGTCAAACAAATGTTGGAAATGTAAGAGGCATGAGGGCTCATTTTATCATATGTGGTGGACTTGTGAGAAAGCTGTAGACTTTTGGACAAAAGTCCACAATGAAATGCAAAAAATACTGAAATGTTCTTTTAAAAAAGCACCGGAAATTCTGCTTTTGGGACTCAAAATGGAAGAAGTCAATACGACTAAAAAAACTTTACTCTGGTACCTGATAGTGACAGCGAGAATGATTTATGCTCAGTTTTGGAAGACGGAAAAGGTACCAGAGGTTGAAGAATGGATACAAAAAGTTCTGTTCATGGCACAAATGGATAAGATTACAAAAAAACTGAATAACAAAGAAGACGATGAGTTTTTTGGAGAATGGAATGATTTTAAAATTTATCTGGAAAAGAACTGGGATGTGAAACAAAACTTAATATGTTTAGATCAATATTAAGTCAAACGATGTTATCTTTAGATTGTAATGATGAGAAACTGATATTGTTGATGATATGAAGTAATTTGGAGCAGGGGTGGAAGCATTGTGGGAAGCCATTGGAGGGAGGGGAGGAACTGGGAATGGGGTAGACAATTGATAGAATGAAATGTTTTATATGTTGTATTCCTGAGAAAATAAAATTTGTTTACCAAAAAAAAAAAGAAGAATCTTCTCCAAACAACATTCAAACAAGCATAGAGAAAGACGGCGTCACAGCAGCATGAAAGTAATTTAAAAATGCAGATTCGACCTATTTTGTGGGGGGGGGGAAGCTCTTTCTCTGTGGCCTGTGCTATAGTGAAAAGACAGTTGGGAAGGAAACTTACTACTAGAAAACAGTAGACCTAATTTCATTTTTATGGACATGTGGTGAGAGAAATCTTACCTCGTCGTATGCAGTCATGGTCTGAAACCTGCAATTCCATTTCATCGAAGGTAGCTGCAATGCTAAAAAAGACCAAGGAAAGGCATCTGCAGTTCCCTCAGACAGACTGATCCTGTGTAATCCAAGGCTTCTGAAATACTGCTAGCAAAAACTTGGAAAGGCTCTTGCTGAAAATCAGGAAGCTTAGTGCTGATCTATCAACAACATTTGTGGGTGGATGCCCTTGAGCAATCATGCTGCTGTAAGTGGCTTTTCAAAGTGATGAGAAGCCTTCTGGTGACATCCTAAAGCGTGCATTCACATACAGTGCCATTCTGA